ATTCACCATCACCTCTGGGATTCCGTCAGGCATCCTGCTTATATCAAAGAATTTTCACTCACTGCCATCACGTGTACTCTGACTCGTAGAGACCATACAGAACAGGGTAGAACTGCTCGTGTAAGTTTTCCAGACAGTTCATCTTTACAGAAGTAGGAAACCTCGTCTTTCTCCCATAGGCTTTGAACTGTTTCTTTTGCAGTTAGCATCCCACGAGTAAGCACGATGCCACCAGGGCTCCCGAAATGCCAGTAGTGCCGGGATGGAGGCACTATGTTAGAGAATTTCTTTTTCAGTATCTCATTATGTTTCTTCACTCCCAAGTTCTATCAAGTTCCTGACTATCTCCAGTGTTTCTCACTGGAGGAACTAGAAGGAGTGAACACTTTGAGCAGCAGTCTTATTCAGATGAGTCTCTTGGGCTGGGGCTCCACCCCCTCCCATTTGCTCCCAGAGCCGATCAGTACCACCAGCTATCTAACCCTTTGCCAGCCTGTTGTCCTCCGGTTCTTTGCATATTGCTCTAACGCTGGAGGCAATGCCAGCAGCGTCACTCACGGACAGAGTTCAGTGAAGTTTCCAGATTGAGAGGCTAGGAAGAAAGACTGGGAGTCTACTCATGAAAACGAGTCAGTGAAACCCCATGAACCAGCGCACAGTATTTTCCAACATTGTGCCGGAATGGCTCTGGTTGGAAGGCTAGCGTGGCTCACACGTGGAAGTGGTCCTGAGATGATGGAGGACGTGGCGGCATTTTCTTCTGTTCCATGTGGAGTTGCCACGACTTGAAACTGACACGTTAGCAAGTCTCCCCCAGCCATGCCACAGATAAGTGTCCTTCTGATCATCGGGGCTGCTGCCGGGACGCCTCTTGCTCCCTACCCCAGCCTCATTATCGTTAGCGCCTGCTCAACCCCACTGCCATTTACTTGTGCCACTTTACTCCTCCTTGTCTTAAAGGACCCTGAAAGCTTATGGATGACAGAAGGGGTATTGCCACCCTGTACAATAGACAAATCAAAAGAGCATGTTCCCACGCTGGCCCTTTGGTAAGAGAGACAAAAATAAAGAACACAAACATCTTGGGAGCGGTAGTCACCAAATAGGTCATGTCCTCCCTAGGCCACCATCATCTTCCTCTGCTCCCCATTATAAAATGCTGCTCACCCCTCAGGACCAATAGTGCGGGGAGAAAGGGGGAATCGATCACTAAGAGTGAATATAACCCCCTTCCATGGGGATGAGCAACAGAAAAGTGGGTGAAGGGTGACTGAGGATGATGTAAGATATGAAAATGATAATCTATAATTTATCAAGGGAGGGGGGAAATGAGCTGATATCAAGGGCTCAAGTAGAAAAAAAATGCTTTGAAAATGACGATGGCAACATATGTACAAATGTGCTTGACACAATGGGTGAATGTATGGATTGTGATAAGAGAGTAAGAGCCCCCCCCAAAAGTATTTAATTAAAAGAAAATGCTACTCATCCTTGAAGGTGCTGCTGAGATGGATCCTACAGGGTTATCTTCCCTCACCCCTATAGCCAGAGCTGGAAGACTACAGGTATTCTGTTGCATGGGAGTGGAGCTATTACTGGTATGCCAACAGCCTTGTATCTTCAAAAATCAAACTAGCAATGAGCCTCCCATATATATATATATATGTATACATATAACAAGCATAATAATAATCCTAAATGAAAATAGATCTGAGAGTGTGTTAAGGTCCAACACTTTCAAATGAGCCACCACAAATAAAATTCTCCTGGCCACCTTTTGGAAATCATATCCTGTCATACAGGTTAGCGGTAAATACAGTGAAACCTGCCAAAGCCAGACTCCCTTGCTTTTTTTGAGTCTCCCAAGTCACCTTTGACGAAGTGCAGTCTTACAACTTTTCTGTGGTTTGTCTTAGTGGAAAATATTTGCATTACCTTCTATGACAAGTTTCCACCGTACCAGGCCCTGGCCATTCAGGTTTCATTGTACTTTTAAGTCACTAGGTGGGGGCACCACCCACAAAGAACCAGCATGAGAGTAGCCCACAGGTCCTAGGGTGGTAGGTTACACCGAACTGCTAGCCTGAAGGGGAGTGCTTCAGACCCACCAGCTGCTCCAAGGGAGCCTTGGACACCCCTAGGGGCAGTTCTGCCCTGTCTTTTAGGGTCTCTGTGAGTTGGAATAGACTCCCTGACAGTGGGGGAGCCATGTGAGAGGTGCCGGGCCCCACTCTTCACTAGAACTGAAGGGGGCAGGTACTATTATCTTCGTTTTGCAGATGACAAAGCTAAAGCAGAGAGAGAAAATGGCCAACTCCATCAATTCAGTTGTTCAAGTCAAAGACTTTGAAGTTGTCACTTCTCTTAAGTCCCTCCTCTTTGTCATTGGGCCCTGCTGGCTTACCTTTCATCACTTCAGCCAAAGCGACTGCTCTAACTTGCAGTCTGTTTAAACATCTCCTATCCAAAATTTGTCCCTTCCTCGGAATAGCTCTGCGTTGGCCTGAAAGACCTCTTGGGTTCACCTTTTCTTCTGCCTGGAGAGTTCTTCCTCCAGTCAAGGCTCCCGCCCAATCTCATGGTGAAGATGGTACAGGGCTACCCGATGTCTTGCTATTCATAAGGTCGCCATGGGGTGGAGCCGACTCGGGCAAGGAATAATAGAACAATTATAACTAGTCCACCAACACTATAGAGCAGCCTCCCTCCCTACTCTCTGGTGTACTGTTTCACCTCCCTTCACAGCTCATATCATCTTTGGCCACACTGTTGTCTTGTTTGCCCAACTATCCCTCCTAAAGTGGGATAGCAAGCTTAGGCATGTGGGCCAATCCTATCAGGGGCCTGCCTTTTTGAAAAATGACTTTTGAGCCAAAATTAAATTTTCCTTGATACATGTCAGTGTTCAGAAAAACAGTCTATTGGCCATGGCCTTGTCAGTCCAGTCCAGTTACACACAGTAACGGCATGGCTCCCCAAGCACAAAATATTTACTCATCTGGCCCTTTCCAGAATGTTTGCCATATACTACTCTAGATTACAAAGCTGCTTTAACTGTGGGTTGTGGCCCCATAATGAGTCATGTAACTGCACTGGGGTAAGGGTTAGGGCACGGTTGTGAAAAATTTGACAACCAAAAATCAGTTCAAAATCAAGCACATAATGAAATCCTAGGTGTTTCTGGCAGCATTTGCCCATGGTTTTGGGGCATTGGACAAAGTTTAAGAAGCCCTGTGTGTAGCTCTGTGAGGACAGGCTCTTTGTTTTGCCTACTGTGGTATAGCCAGTGTAAACAAAATAGCAATTATAGGGCCAAATACATAAATGAAGGTCCTATGTGTAAGAAAATCACAAGTGTATGCTTGGACAAGTTGGGAATTGGGTTCTGAATGCACAGTGGGTTAAACATTGCATTGCTGTGGTTCCAAACAGTCACTCTCGGGAGCGTGGGGAGACCGACTGCTCTGGTCCAGATGTACGGTTTGGGAAACCATAAGGAGCAGGTCTAGTCTGTCCCATAGGTTTGCTGTGAGTCAAAATCAGCTCAGTTTCAGTGAACTTCATTTTCCCTTTTGAGTCTAAACATGAGGCGTGATCTTAAGTGTTATGCCATCAAATATATTTTTATGGTGTAGACATTTTAATGCCTTGTTTTGCCTTTTGGTTTTTCTCTGAGCTGGGAAACTAGTAAAAATAAAAATGTGGAAATAGCTCCTCTATAAGAAATAATGGACTTTGAGGCTTAAAAAAGAAAACCAAAGGGGAAAAACCTTCATCACGGTTGTATGTTACCAGTAAATACAGCACTTTTATAAAAATAACCAACATCCATGGGAAAGCATTGTGGTACCATTATCAAAGCATGCACAGCATGGAAGGATGAACTCCATAGGTGATGAAGGCAGTTAATCTGATTGGATTTGCTGTAACTCCCCAAACTAGCACCACATTTACTGGTCTGAAAAGGACTAGGGGCACCACACAAGCTGTGGCCCTAGGCCACCCTTCAAGCCCGAGACGGAACCTCAGCCCCTGGCTACCAACTTTCTGCCAGATTACAGACAGGCCTATGAAGTGACAATGCCAGACAGGAGTTGGGCTTCTCATCACAATCACCCACATCAGAATGAAAAGGCAGCCGGTGCCTCCCGACAAAGTTCAGGAGGCCAAAGGAGGGTTACAGAGGGTGAATGGAAGCAACCTGGCAGGAGGAGGGAAGAGAGTGTTTCTGGTGTGGGAATTGCAACTGATGTTACGAAACAAAGTCTGTGTAAATTGGTGAATGGAAGACAGATGGCCTCTGTAAACTTTCATTCACACTACCATGGAAATAACCATAAACAAAAACAACAAAGCCCAGGGCCAGAACCCTGAGCCTTGAGGCATGCTTTCTTTGTAACCTAAAGGCAAGCAAGGTAAAGGGGTATCTGATGTGAACACTGGGTTTGGCGGTGAGTGCACACGTCCGCTGTGTGCAATGCTCAGGGAGGTGTGGGTGCTAGAATTAGGAAAACCCGGCCCCTTTTTTGAGGCACCCTTCTGTGGATGCAAACCCCAGACTGTTCTGTGAACAGTTGAATGCTCTGACTGTATGCTCAGAAGTAGCAGGCCTGGGTTGTAGATCAGCCATTGCAAACCCCCTAAGCACGTTCTCCTCTGACACAGGGTTGCCAGTGGAAACCTTTTTTTGCTGTTGTTTAGTAGCAGGAAGAGTTACCGTTACCTGTGTGACCTACTAAAGGCTCACTTATTTGTTTTAGGTCACACGGTAGCAAAGAGCAAGGAGCATCTCCTCTCTGGAGGGCTGCGGGCTGCAGAGCGAGCTCTCTCCTGTGGATTCAGCCATTTCTCAAGGACTGGTCTTGGAGTTTGGGACCATCGCATTTGCACATGTGCACTGAGAGAAGGGGCCGTCAGTCAGTCGACGACTTGGGCCTCTCTGCTTCGTGATTTCATGACACTGAATTGTAACCACAGGCTGGCATCTCCTCTGGATTCCCAAACAACATGCAGCCTCCAAGAAGGGACGAGCTGGAGATTCCAGAACAGATCCTGACTTCAGAGATGCTTGGTCTTTGATGTCCTTCGGCCTTTTCAAAGAAACGTGGGCACAGGTTGAAAAAGGTTCTCGTTCTGTTCCTTGTCTGAACTTTTCCTTTGGCCGTGGTGTTTGTTGTGAGGAGTCTGCACGAGGAATGCTGTTAGCAGGTGTGGATTCGGAAAGTCTAATTGACGGCTGAGGAAGAGTCTACAAACCTGGAAGAATAGACGGACTCGCTGGGAATGCAGCTGTCCTATTGATCTTGAAATTGAAGCGTTATTTTAACTTTCATTGTCGGCATAGCAGAAATACGGCGGGACCATTTTACTGAGTGTTAAGAAAGTATTTCAATTCCAATATAACCAAAGTCCTCACTTAAGATATGACAAAAATCTTGGGATTTTTTTTTTAGTTCCTCTCTCATCATGTAAATAAAGTATAAACCAGTCTCTATTTAGAGCAAGGGTGATCTCTTAGATCCAGTTTACACCAATGATATTAAACTCTGTAGACAGGTGGCCTAAGACGCTAAGTTTTCAGGCTTTTCCTGATCTTCACGAGCGCTTTTCCAACTTATTTTCTAGACATCTTATTTCTACAACGTGAATAAAATTTGGAGTCACATTTTTCTTGGTTTAATGACTTTGCCTAAGTCATGGCTCTACGTACCCTAAGATGCTCTCTGCAGCCACATCTTACAGCTGAAGAGCTACTGACCCAGGTTTAAATGCGTAATGTTCTTTCAAATACATATTACTGTAAGGATAGCCTGGATTTATATACATGAAAGCAATGACCCAAACAGCAATTTCAGTTTTTCTTTGGTTTTCTCCATAATTTGAAATTGAGATCAATACAATGACATAATATTGTTTGGTTATGAGTTAACTCTCTTGAGTTTTATTCTTGCTGGAGGATGGGAGTAGGTGGTGTCCATCTCTTTGCTAAATTTTGTTAATTTGATTGACTGCTTTATGGTGTTGTTCCTCTCTTGTTAATAAGTAAAACAATCTTCCTGCTGATGTCTAAGTTTTATTTTATTTTATGCCTTAAGACATGTACCAACATCTTAGAGTTGAAAATTTTAAATATATGTACAGGTATAAGTGTGTGTATATATACACATATATATATGAATATTAACTCATTCTGTGAACAACAGGGCACAGCTGGCCCATATATAAGGGGTACCCCCCAAACCCCCAGAAAATCATTTTTTTCAAAGCTATGTATTTAATTTTTTTTACAGAACAACTTTATCACCTTCAAAGTACTCTCCATTTCACTTAGTACATTTGGCAAATCTGTGATTCCAATCTTGGAAAGATTTTTCAAACACATCTGTTTGGGTGGCTAACACACCTCCCTTGACTTTTTCTTCTTTTCTACATCATCAAAGCATTGTCCTTTCATGTCCCTCTTCATTTGCAGAAACAAAAAGAAGTCAAGCATAGTGAAGTCAGGTGAGTAAGGTACATGGGGCAAGAGGGGCATGCTGTTTTTTTGCAAAAAAAATTGGCACACTGAGATGGCTGTGTGAGGTGCGTTGTTGTGGTGGCAAAACCAGTTCCTGTCTGCCAGGAATCAGGCCTTTTTTGTCATACACAGTTATGCAATCTTTTCTTGATTAACAGTGTGACTTGGTGGAATGAACTCCAAATGCACTACCCCCCTCATGTCACACGAACACACGAGCGTGTCTTGATCTATGATTTCACTTGACGGGAGCTTCCTTTGGGGTGAGGTGACAATGGTGTCTTCCATTGGCTTGATTGTTTCCTTTTGGGGTCGTAAGAATAGCACCATGTCTCATCACCAGTAATGACCTTGGAAAAAAGTCTGGGCTACTTCAGAGCTGTTCATTCAAAGCACCACGTGTCCGCTGGTCAGGCACAACTCGAGGCACACATTTTGCAGTAACCCTTCTCATTCCCAAATCTTCCCTTGACATTCACTGACCCAAGCTCCAAGAGAGTCCAGGTCATGTCCCCATCCCTTCAATGGTCATTGTTGGTGTACACGCATTTTATCAACATTTTCATCTGTTCAGGAAGTTTTGTCCAGAACCAGGTTTGTCATTAGTCACCATTTCACCTATTTTGAAATGAGAAAACCACTCGTACCCTTGAGTTTTCACCATCGCTCTGTCCTTGTACGCTATGTTTGATGGAACCGAAACAAAATCTCACAGCTGCACACGATTCTCCTAAATTGGCCATCACAAAAAAACTAGGTTTAAGCAAAACTGCTTTTATGAAAAAATTCATAGTGAACTTTCCCAGGGCACACCACTGGGTGCACTAACTCAGAGTGAGTTGCTCCATGCTTGCCTAGCAGGAAAAATGCGTATTATAAAAAAGCCAGGCGGAACGTACGTTTTCCTGTTTTGGGAGGGTTACCCCCTAGTGTTATTGGAAACTACATTGTTTTCACTCCCCAACTCACGTGCCAGTAAGGAGAATTTAAATTGTGGGGTGGGTGAATTAAACTACAGCACATCCATGCCGTTTTGTGCATCGGCTGCTGCCTTTCTATGGTAGGAATTCTTTTTAATCTAAAAAGGGGTTTATGCTGCACAAACAATGGCTTAGGTGGTCAGTGTACACGTCTGATCTTGTACCCCAAATACGATCAAGTGAAAAATGTCGCTGCTTCACCTTGAGGTGCATTTCCAAGGAGTAAACTGTTTCCACGGAGTAAATTCCTTTCAGGGAATAAATGGTCCATTTGGGAAAATGGGAGGCCTCTATGCTGACATTTCATCCATTATCGCTGTAAAGTGTTCTTTTTACCTAGTTCAAGAGTTAGCCCTGAATTGAGGCTGTCTTGAAGAAGTAGTTTAGTGGACTCATTCCTATCCCGTTCCTTCCCTGTAGGGCAGTGGGGAGGAGATGTTGCTGTAATTTGACAGCTTTTGAAACAAAGACACCAAGGGAGTCCGGCGGAGGCTGCTCAGGTCAGCATTCCGTCTGCTGAATATGGCACATGTGCTCTCAGCCCTCGGAAACCTTGCATTCTTTGCTCTGAAAACATGCAGCTGCCTATCAGGGACTGTGGGCTCAGCCCAGGCCTCTCTGAAGGGATCAGGAACCTCGCAGCCTTCAAAACTCTTCCATAGGTGCAGAAAGGAACCCTGGCTGTGAACCCCAAAGTCAGAGGTTTGAATCTACCAGCAGCTCGGTAAGAGAAAAGACTGACTGATCTGCTCCTCTCGAGACTAGAGTGTTGGAAACCCAATGATAGATTTCAGTTTTGTTCTGTGGGGTTGCTGGAGGATGCCTGCTCCCAACCATGAAAACCCTGGAGAGTAGAAGTCTGTCAAGACAGATTGATTTATGCCTTTGGTAGTCCAGGGCACTTTCAGTATCCTTCACCAGACCATCATTCAAATGCATTGATTCTCCGGTTTTCCGTATTTACTATTCGGCTTTCACGTGCATGTAAGGTGATTGAAAAGGCCTTTGGTTGTGTCTGGAGCACATTAGTCCTCAGAGTGACATCTTTCGATATTTTCAAGAGGTCTTGTGAAGCCAATTTGCCCAATGCAGCAAGTTGATTGATTTCCTGACCTTTCCTTCCACTTCCAGGAGCATTTATGGTGGATCTAATGAAAAGGATGTCTTTGGCAACATCCTTCTGTTCTCCATTTATCATAATGTTCTCTTACGGGGTGTAAGTTGTGAGGATTTTGCTCTTCCTCACATTGCGGTACAATCGGTCCTGCAGCTGCCGTCTTCCCTGTCACTAAATGCTTCAAGTCTTCCCGGCGTTCAGTGAGCAGCTTGTCTTTTACAACTTATTCCAGTCCTTATGTACGTTCTTCATACAGTCCAGTTTCTCAAATTACTTGCTCTGCAAACAGATGGAGTAAGTGTGGTAAAAGGATACAGCCCCGACATGCACCTTTTCTGATTTGGAACCTGCAGTGTTTCCTTGCATTTGAATGACTGCCTGTTGGTCCATTTACAATACCGATTCTTTTATGTCATTGTTTCTTCTGTTCATTTTAGCTACTCTACTCCTGACATCCATTTTGGTCTTTTTATTCTTTTCTGTTGTGTTATCCCAGGTTGACTAGAGAAACAAATCCAGGGACATTCATATGTGTGTAAGAGAGAGCTTTATATCAAGAAGTCATTATGCATCAATAAAACATCCCAGTCCAGATGCAGTCCATAGGTCCCATCTTAGCCCATCAGTCCGATAGTAGCCCATTAATTCCTCTTCTGACTCACAGCACTTGCAGTGATGCCGAATGGGTCCAGTGGTGGTGGAAATATCTCTAGGGCTCTGGCTGCCATCAGTATGGTTCCATTTTGCTTGTCAAAGGAATGTGAAGCAGAGTGTGTGTCCTGCCTCCAGAGGGGATGAGAGAAAAACTCCCAGAATCCTCATGAGAAGGCCACACCCATAAGAAGGCACCAATCAGGCTGTGACCTGATTGACAAGCTAGACTCCACCCCTATTACCTATTTATCAAGTTGACATGAAATTATGTAATTACCACACCTGTCTTCTTAAAGATCTTTTCCTTCATGTATGATATGCCTTACATAGCATACAGTTTAATCAATCTTATTAAGAAGAGTACTGTAAATATCACCACAATTTCAGAACATTTGTTTCTCATTCTCATAGTTCATTGCTTCCTTTCCCCACCCCACCTCCCACCCCCAACCCACCACCCCTACCAAACCCCTAGGTAATTATTAATCTAGTTACTTTATAGGTTTACCTATTCTGGATTTCAGATACAGGAAACCATATATCACACTAACAGGAAGCAAATAAAAACCCCAACACCAATGACAATACAGAGAAAAACCTCAATAGAAAAGAAAGCAGAAAATATTAAAAACTGAAGCAACTTGAGTCAAATGGGAGATCACATGTTAAGGTGTAACACCTAAACTAACTACTCTCCTAATTGACTTTCCAATGCTGTCATAGCCAGACTGGTCACGTCCCTGGATTATGGGCAGAGGGGTTCACTAGAGAATTAATCTGTGCTGTGGACCCTACAAATGGATTTTGGCTTTCCATTGTCATCCATAACCTTCTATAAACAGGGCGCTCATAATTTAAGCTCTGATACCATTCCCTCCTTTACATTTGGATTTTATTATTTACTATCTGTGGATCACACAGGCTAGTGTGTTTCTTCCATGAGGTCTTAGTTGATGCCTTACTTAGCTGGCTGCCTGTTGTGAGAAAAACCTGTAAGGCCCCAGATGCCAGTCTCTCGGATAGCCAGGCACCAACGTAGGATGCCTTGATCATCCCACAACTCATCTGGCATTCAGGAAGTACTGCTGTTCCATGTGTCAGACCTGTTCTGCAGATGGTCCCTAAATTCATGGACTTGTATATAAACAAGTGAGTGTCTGTTCCCCAGCCCCCTCCCGTTTTCTGAAGCTCACCACTATCATCTCTTTCCATTGTTGGGGTAGATTTGATTACTGTGTATTAACATCTAATGAGTTTCAAATGTATTAATAAATTAATACAGTCAATTAGTAAATTGTCTTATGAACTTCTGCAATTAGAAAATGACAAACTGGCCCCTGGCATAATTTCTATCAGTAAGGCCATATTTTTCAACTACTGATCCTCCTGTATTTAAAAATTTCACAGTCCAATATCCATTAATTATCAGTGCATCTTGATCACATGTTTAATCAATTTCCAATCACAGATGTTGGTAAAAATCTTCATATTTTTTTCATTTTTGGCATGAGTAGTTGGTACATAAATATGAATAATAGTTGTATTAACGATCTTCTGTGTTTACATACTATCCTGTTATTGACAGTGCTTTACTTCAGGACAAATCTTGATTATTATTATCTCCACCACCCCCAAACAGTTTTACTAGCACATAATTTACATATCATACACTTCAATAGTTAAATCATTCAATCATATCAAGGTACAGTCACCACCATTAATGTGAGTTGTGCAATCCCAACCAGTTCTAGTGCTCCTTCCCCCCATCGCCTTCATTATTTACTCCCCAAATCCC